GTTCAAAATGTTAATGTTATAACAGTAACTCCAACCGTTTTCACACCGTACTAGTACAAGTATCACGTGGTCTGTCTTGGTTCTAATATTGTAGGTATTTCTGTCGAGAGATAAGCAGGACAAAAAAAAACATCAACAAATTTTTGATTTTGAGGGAAAGTTCAAAATGTTAATGTTATAACAGTAACTCCAACCGTTTTCACACCGTACTAGTACAAGAATCACGTGGTCTGTCTTGGTTCTAATATTGTAGGTATTTCTGTCGAGGACAAAAAAAAAACATCAACAAATTTTTGATTTTGAGGGAAAGTTCAAAATGTTACTTACAGTGAAGAGAAAGGCTCAGAAGAGAATTTCTGACCTATATTTTTACTTTGTTTTTTACAAATACTGAAAGTTTGTGAAAAATTAATGATCCCCACGCGTGTATGTATATATATTATATATATATATATATGCCAAGACTGCGAACTTCACCTCCAGCATTGCTTAGAAGCCCACTTCTCCACTGGGGGTTTTTATCTGTAAGCTTCAATGGAGGAAGTGCTTGATTGGTGCTTGCTGACGAGACAACTCTGTAACGGACTTTGTCTGCGCAGAGCCTGGTTTCCTTGACGACCAAACTATTGTCTCCCGCTAAAGTTATAAAAGCCTTTTTTTCTTTCATTCGATATTCTCATCTCATCTTTTGTTCACTTTGATGTGACGTCATTGTCCCCGTCCGTCTCTCAGCTTTATAACGCTATTATACATTTTACTTACCTCTTACTCCCATTGTTCATCTCCTGTTTTCTACTTCAGATCGCTATTTCTCTATCGATGCTATATTTCCTTTTGCGGCATCCTCAATTCTCCTATTAGTGCTTTTAAATGCTTTTTATCCCTCAGTGTGTTTTCCTTACTAACCTTCAAGAAATAGTGTTTATCTTCTCTTATTCCCGTAAATCTCTTTAAATCCCATGTTTATTACTGAAACAGCACGTGTGATTTTTTTCCCCTCTAACGTATCAACGTCATATCTCTCTGTACTTCTAATCGTCAAGCTGCTACCATTTCCTCCGGATCTTGTATATTCTCCTCACCTTCTTTCTTTACTGGTTCCGTCTATTGTACTCTCCTTCCTGTTCCTGAAATCTCGTATATTTTCCTCTCCTTTTCCATTGTTTCCATCGCTGACACCCCGACTAGCTTCTTAAGTGTATATTGATGATGGTGTGTGACATTTACTTGTAATATGCGAGTGATATTATATTAGTTTCGTATGGTGTTGAGTATCGGGGAGTAGGACTAGTCCGGTCACCAGGTGAGCATGTTTTGGTGTGACGGGGATTCGAATCCGCGACCTGCAGATTGCGAGTCGAGTGCCCTAAACACCTAGCCATGCCGGGCAGTGATATTATATCATAGTATGAATGATCATTTCAGTGACATCATTCCTGGACGGACCAATACGGGTATTAATAATAATGTATATTAATATTTCAACAGTATCTTATCTGCGTGCAGACGAGTCCTTAAGCTATTTTTCCCACTTCCTCAAATATTTGTGTGTTTGTTTTAAATTTCGAGAGCTATCTACGATAGCCGTCCCTAATTTAGCAGTGAAAGAAGGGAAAGAGAAGGCAGCGAATCATCACCACCCACCGCCAACTCATGGGCTACTCTTTTACCAACGTATAGTGGGATTCACTGTCACATTATGACGCCCCCATGGCTGAAAAAGCGAGCATGTTTTGGTGGAATGAGGATTCGAACTCGCGACCCTGAGAATGGGAGTCGAGTGCCCAAAACCACCTGGCCATTCTAGAATTACAAAATAAAAGGTTTATATGAAACTACTAATATCCCCGATAACAGAGTGACGCAGCTGCAAACAAAACATCCAGTTTTTAATTTTTATTTTATCTTAATCAAGAGGCCCCTTAAATTCTGTGTCTGGGACATTTGCCCCTCCCATTTTTCCCCTTTATTCTGACCCTGCATTGAGTTAACAGTTTAATGGTGGACCATACTCATATACGATTTGGTGTGTGTACTTATCCTAACGTTTAATGTTGGACCATACTCATATACGATTTGGTGTGTGTACTTATCCTAACGTTTAATGGTGGACCATATTCATATACGATTTGGTGTGTGTTCTTACCCTAACGTTCAATGGTGGACCATACTCATATACGATTTAGTGAGTGTACTTATCCTAACCTTGTATGGTGGACCATACTCATATACGATTTGGTGTGTGTTCTTATCCTAACGTTGTATGGTGGACCATACTCATATACGATTTAGTGAGTGTACTTATCCTAACCTTGTATGGTGGACCATACTCACATATGATTTGGTGTTTGCTCTTATCCTAACCTTGTATGGTGGACCATACTCATATACGATTTGATGTTTGCTCTTATCCTAACGTTGTATGGTGGACCATACTCACATATGATTTGGTGTTTGCTCTTATCCTAACCTTGTATGGTGGACCATACTCACATATGAT